TGAACCGATGCCTTAGGTACAGCCATGTTAAGGCATGGTAACAGAAGCCTAAGGTTCCACAGCACCGATACAAGTTTCTGCCATTGACACAATCCTGGGCCAATACCACTTATGATCCTCACGGCCTTTCTTCCTTCCTTCCTGTAGAACCATCTTATCCTTCCATTTCCTCTTCGGTCCTCCAAATGGGTGTGTTCCGGAAATGCAAAGATTATGAGTTCTCAAGACTGAATGGTAAGAGGATTTGCCTATCGATCGATGACATGGGTTTTAGCGGCTGAACTCAGTTGTTGAATAGATAGCATTCCTGTTTCATATTCGCCAGATCCAGTGTTCAAATCTCGGCTCGGAGACAAGCTATCTTGACTGGAATCTTTTGTTGGTTTTCCTAAGTATTCCTGGAAAATACCGGGATAACAGCGTAAATTGTCTTGACCACTCCATTTCATACTTCTGACAGTTTATCATTCATTAATAGTTCTTTCATTCTCCGGAATGAAATGTAAGCTGAGAAAATTAACTCCGTGGCATGTAGTCCGCAAGCGAACTGTACCGATCGAGCGACCACCGCTTGTCGGCGAAGTTAGTACCAACTTTGCGGATAGAGGGTGTCACGTGGTTAGCGCAGCGGATCCCCAGGACCTTTAATCTCGGGTGTCTAGACCGGAGCCGCTATTTCCTTGAAATAGCTCCTCAGTTATCCTCACATGGATGAGTGGAACCATTCCAGACCCACTACTTCTCAAAAGATCTGGTAGCGCCGGGAATCGAACCCGGGATCTCTGGATCTGTGCCAGGAACTCTGATCACTAGACCACAGAGACGGTCCGAGAAATTTAGTACGTCGTTAAATAAGCTGAGAGTAGTAACCGCAGCAATTAGACAGTGAATTCTTTCGGTGCCTTGCGTGGTGTCGATGTGGGTGTAATGATAGCGTAGGTCGGGGCTATTAGGGTTACTCGTTTATGTGCGCAGGCGAAAGCTGCTCGTGGCCTCTTATTGGCTTACTGAAATTTCCCATCGTCTTGTTATATTAGGTATAAAACTAGCGTACTGTATATTCATTTAGAATATTGTCATATATGCTGCCATGAACATGCCATTCTCGTCCTTAATGCATTGTTCATATTTTCGAGAATGATATGCACGTTATGTTTCTAATAAGACCCATGCTGAAACTAATTACTTAGTGTTCCGTGTTTCACTCTGTACGGTCTCAATAACATTTTGCACCCGCTTGTGTCACCGTGGTAATTTCAGATGACCACCTAATTCTGGATCGGCACGTGTTTTAAAAACATATGACTTTAATTGAAAACATTTAAACCTGTTTACTGTCTTTTTCAAATATAGGTCGCACGTGTAAAGCTGGAACAGATAAACTAATGAATGTTCTAAAAATACGCTAGATGAATGGTCTTATTCTAGCTGCAGCAATACCTTGTGTCGTATTTCTCCTAATATTGTCCGCCTACGACTATAGTCCTCTTTTATAAAACTCAGAATATTAAAGGGAACTTGTTCATATAGTTCTTATACCGGTCTTACATTTCTTCGAATAAGTATTAAGATTCAAAGATACAGAATTGTAATGTTATCTGGTGTTTCGTGTTGTCACATGTGTGGGTGACTACAGACGGGTTTTGGATTGGATGATCGAATTTATTAATACTTTATTCACACACGCACAACTTTGGGACTACAGGCATTAGAGTCCTATCGCTATTTTACATACTGCCACGTGTAGGGTGGCACGCGTGGCGAATAATTGTGGGTTCTAGTTCGGATGATTGGATTTATTAGCACCTTGGTTACAATAAACAGAACTAACCGTTTTCGCGCCTCCTCTTTACCAGTGTCACAATGTAGAAGGTAAAAGTTATCCCTGTAACAGACCGTGGAGGCCCATAGGGTTATAAGACGTCGAGGTTCCCACATTTTCTAGACAGTCGGCTGATAGATGGCGATGAGGTTGTTAGCGTAACGCGCCGGCCCCTCGTAACCCCCAAGAAGATCCCTGGTACTCACTTCTGTTAGAGGTTGAGTAGACCCCAGGGCCATAGTGCGGCTGGAAGGATTACGGCGATTGAAGAATCCAGTGACATCGGAAATCGAACCCGTGACCTTCCGGCTTGTATAATAATGCTGAAACAACTACGCTACCGCGTGCCCCCGAATTTCACAATGCATGTAAACTAACTTTAAAGTAAATTTGAAATTAAAGTTTATTCGATTAATTAATATGGAAAGAAATTCTGAAGGAGGAATCGAATTACATCCAGAAGTTTTAACTTTCTTTTTATAGCTAGTGGGGTGGGACTAAGTCCCTTGTAATGCGGCCACTTCTGGCCTATTGTAGCAGCCCCAGATGATAGGTGAGGGTGATTGTGGAGCAATTGGTGGAATGAAGATTGGCAGGGGAACCGAGGTACTCGGAGAAAACTTGTGCCAGCGCCACTTTGTCCCGGTCCGCCGCGGTGGGAAGCCAGCGACTAACCGCTTGAGCCATGGCGTATTTTTTTTAAATATTTTTGGTTTTCTTTGTTTTGTCTGCGGAACGAAATGGAAAGCAGAGAAGTGACATGTTCTAGAAGAAGCTTTTAGCTTACTTAGAGTGTCACGAACATGCGTGACCTAACAACTGCTTACGAGGGCGATGCAAGTAAAAGTAGTTTGCTATAAGACCTACAGTCCTTACTCTCCCTTCGTACACGTCACCAGACTTTTTTTATTACATGTACAAAGATAATGGGGTTTGGTGTGAAAGGCAGAATAAAAGAGACCACTGAGAAGACCAAGACATAAGCGGCTGGATGATATTAAAATGGTTCTTAGAGAGATAGGATGGGTAAGCATGTGTTGTAGCCTTAATGGTAAATTTAGAAACTTGAGGAAACATCTGTTTACAGCGATGGTTCTGCGATTCTTACAATGGTGACTATGAAAATTCTATACATCATGCTACAAGTCGGAAGGTCGCGGGATCGTTTCCCGATGGGGTGTGGATTTCTCGATTGACCTAATTTTTCCAGCCGCACTATGACCCTGGGCTCGACTCAGGTTCTAACAGAAATGAGTACCAGGAATCTTCCTGGTGGGTAAAGGGCGGCCGGCGCGTAAGGCTGACAACCTCACCGCCATCTCTGAGCCGATTGTCTAGAAAATGTGGGAGTCTCGACGTCTCCAATCCTATGGGCCTTCACGGCTTGTTACGGGGATAGCTACGTTTTATTTGTTACCTTCCGTCTGTCGGTTATGCTTGTGGTGGAATTAAGAGAGAACTCAGTACGTAGTTAATCAGTAGAACTGAGTTAGCTTCAAATATCGTATCATTATTTTGGAAACATGAGATATAGGAAATAAGGGTTTGTGTTTTCCTGATTTGTTTCGTGAAACACAAATAAGTTTGGAAATTGTGTATTTTGTTTCAGGTAAAGGATATTTTGAAATATGGGAGAAAGTTGTGTCTCGCGAACAACAAAAAGCTAAAACTAAATACATGCGTAAAAGTACGTGTATTTCGATTTTAAGATGTTGACATAGAGGGCGCGCCATTTAGAAAATCTTGTGAAAAGAAATTTGAATAGACAAGAAAAGTGTGCATATTCGCTTGCCTTAAGGTTTGGCGTGTGCCAACTTACAGTTTGTGGTGAACGTATGCTTAAAAGTCAAGCTAAAGTTTTGGTATTCATAATGAAGTACACACCTTAAAGACGCATTGAGGAATAGGTTCCTAACATTCTTAGCCTCCGGTATTAGATGCGTGTGGGCAGGAAAAGTTCATATTTTGACCGCTTTATCCCTGGAGAAAGAGACATTTGTACCAGTTGTTGAATAGGAGGCTGGGTGGGCCCCAGAGCCGGTTTGGATGCTGTGAGAAGGAGATAAATCTCTTACATCTGCCGGGAATCAGACAGGAATTTCTCGGTCTTTCAGCCTCAAACCTAGTTCCTGTTCCGACGGAACCAAGTTTGACGTGTTGTGCTTATGTGTTCTTCTGCGATTCATGTCATCTCTGGCTTCCCAGTCTCCATTTCGTATTGCTTTCCAGTCTTGACGCCCAAGATCTGTTGCTTCACTTGTTGTTCTAACCGGTTTCAGTTTGTCTTGTCTCTGTCACATTATTTTCCCTGCTGGAGTAGTGCAGCGTCAGTTTTTATATCTTAGCCTCGTTTACTTTCTTGGCGCGGAAAGTAGCCATGTTGCATCCCCATGCTGTCTGTTTATGTGGCATATTTGTGCGTCCATGTCTGTATAATCCCCCTTTCAGCTTTTGAATCATCTCATTTTTCAGGAAACTTGGTTCGGACGTTATGCCATTGGAGAGCATTCAATTCCGTCATTTAATTTCATACGATCATTAATACCAACATTGAGGCACTAGAACTTGTGAGATTGGAGAGCTACTGGCCCCACTTAACATGGGGTTCTGATATGTATGGTAACAGTTTTTAAAACGTATTCAACTTTTCTATCTGCATTTTTTGTACAGTGTAAAATAACAAGCAGCACATCGGCCATGCTAAGTATTTCTGTTGTTCGTTGGTGATAACCATTGAGCCGTTTGAGTCAGACGTCTTAAAATCGTTAGTTTCACATTATGTTTGGAATTTATTTGTAAATGAATAATTGCAAAGATGGCGACGGCGCGAAACGTCCAGGTTGTATTCGAGAAATTGCACGTAGATCTTTAATAAGTTCTTCACAAAGACATAAAGTTAAAAGCAAATATTAAGTTATTAGTAGGCATAAATATGTGCGAAATAGAAATGCAGGATTTTGGGCCCTTTTTATGCCAGTTGTATGGGGTATCTCTCTCTCTCTGCTGTTATCTGTCGCATATCTGAATTTCTTATGCAATAATTTTCGATACCTTAGAAGTCATGCGTATGCTTTCCTCAGAACCCTGTCGGTTTTGAAGAAAACGGCGATGTCTAATGCCATTATGACGTTTTTCTGAGTAATAAAGAGATTAAATAATTACGTTCTTCTGTTCACAGAAAACGGCCTACTAAGTTACGAAAATCCGAATTATCATCTGGACCCAGCGAGGTTGGATGATGCTCTGAACTCAAACACAGACCAGCTGTATGACGATCTGTACCACGAGTTGGATGCTGTGTGCAATTTGGCAGTAACCCGTGCAACTGGGAAACAGACTTCACAGGGTCCACAGCAAGGATCAGCTGGAGGAGGTACGCCGGGCCGGAGAGGCTACGCGGCCCTTGACATCGGCTCCATGGGTGTGGACGTCACCACGGGACCAGTCACTAACTTGGACACTACCTCCACAACAGACACAGACAACCATAACAACAGGTAAGCACTGTCCACCACAGTCTCCTGACTTCACTTTTAGCCATGCTGTTAAACGGACAACAACTGGAACATCTTGGAGTGTAGGCTATGCCTTGGGTGAGCAACCTTATGGAAGAGAAGTCCTGGTTGTTCAAACGAGATCTCTGGTATGGTGATTTTGGCTCCCAGTGTTGGTAATAGATTATAGTATTATAGTATAATGATCAACGTACGTCTATGATGTCGACAGAACCTCGCGGATGATCTAGATACAGTTTAGCAACAACGTTGACAATAAACATTGTGTTGAGACTCATGAACAAAGTAGACTTGCAGTGGTCGCTTTCAGTAAAGGGCTGCAAGGGACTGTCCCAGCAAAATGCTCGTATATAAAATCTGATAATCACCACAGAGAAGCTTGGTCACTAAGAATAATGAATGTAAAGCAAGAATATGTCTGTAAAAACTTTTGGTTGTGTATGTTCTTGATAATGCCCCTTTGTTATTTTACACACTGAGTTTCATAAACGGCACTTATGAGTTATGGTCTGACTTGCCGTTACCAGTGTCCAGCCTTTCCTCCCGGGATGTTCTTTTCGCAAAAGAAAACTCACTGCATTTATTTCTGATTTGGCGTTTTCTGGATTCACCCAACTCTGGATAGTGTGACATGCCCCTGTGGAGACGGTAATGATCCTTAGGCTCCATGAAATGTAGGACGTTTCTTGACAAGTTCTCAAAAATGACTCAATTGCAACATTTGCTTAGTATTTATAAGGAAGTAAAAAGGCAAAAGGCAAATTTGGTTTGATAATGTTCACGTACATTATAATGTACTTTATAATGATTGGTTAGATTCCTTCCAGCAATAAATATACATGACGATGAACTGTAGATGAAAACTCGAAAATAAAATCGGATTAAAACCTTTACTACAACATTGTACCAACGTGTTTGTGTATGATAGTTTATTGTAACTGTTGTGTAATGTCCTTGTTTTTAAAGCCTGTCTCGTCTGCTGTTCCAGTAATTGATCTGACTTCTATTTTTTGTTCAACAAGCTTTTATGTTTTGCATTGTTCCAGTATTATTTACGTGAAAACTCATTTGGATGACAAATATATCGTGGGCATGTATGTCTATCACAAGTACCGGGTGTCCGGATGAAAGGTATCCAAAATTAAAAAAAAAATATATCTCGGAAACTAATTGTGATACACGTATCCGGTTTATGTCATCAAGAAAGAAAACTCTGATTTTTTTTCATACCCGGCTTACGCGCATACGCTGCCACATTTTTACCACCATGTTTGGAATCACCTGAACAGAGAGATGGCTGGGATATGAATTGGCAGAGGTGGACCAATCGCTTGGCCTCCTAGGTCGCCAGATTTAACCCCAGTGGATTTTTTCTTGTGGGGTTCTGTGAGAAACATTGTTTATCAGGTTAAGATCAACGACCTTCAACACCTGAAAGACCGCATAAAGGTACGGCAACATCGAACATGCTTCAAGCATGGATATTTGTCGTACCACCAAGGGAGCCTATATTTAAATTTATTGAGGAAGTTATGTACTCAGAAAAGAAACGTTCATAGTTTCCCTTTGTACTGGTGTGACCCATTAATGTGTATAATAAATTCTTTCTGAGATATAATGAATTTATTTTGGATACCTTTCATGCGGAAACCCTGTATTATTCCAGATTTCCCGTTCAATTCACATGTACAGGAAAATAACGCTGTGTTAAGCTTGTCATTTACTGAGGAATGCTGTTCTGTTAGTGACAATAATGTTGGTATGATACAGATGTACATGGGTTTCATGTGTATCCATGGCTGAATAAATTAAACGAATTCTGTTGTTTTTCCCCCTGTTATAAACGAGAACACAAATAATGTGAATACATGTGTGTAAGCCACTACCCAGAAGGGCTATTATCCCTCCTACCAACCCTTTATTCTGGGATTTGTTAATATTAAAACTGCCCTTTCCAGTGTCGGCTAAAACGACTGTATGGGACTTCAGATAAAATTAAAAATATTTGATGAAGATAAGCATTGCTGGAATTAGAGTCATACTGTCTCATCAGGGGAGTCATGGTTGGTTTGTATTGCTCTCACGAGAGGTCTGGGAATCGAATCTCGCTCTCAGTTATCTACAGTGAGTGGAGACCGTTGTATTAAATACGATTTTCAGGCGCAGTGGATGCGATTGGAAAGATCGTATTAGCCCCTAACAGTGTTACGGACTGAGTACAAATTGTGAAGCTTCTTGTTACATAATTGCCCCAAACACCAATAGTAATAAACTCCATGAAACCCAGAAGCTAATAGTTTATGGGCCAGTCAAGATATCCTCCGTTTATTAACCTACTTTTTGCTATTTTGAAAAGTGAAAGCAGGCTGTTGAAGTCACCTTGCTCTCTGTGTCTGTCTGTCTGTCTGTCTGTATGTATATGCTCGCCAACAACCTCTGAACGCCTGAACCGATCTTTATGAAACTTGGTATGTGTGTCATGCCACCTGAGGCCTTCTCAAATGCGTACTTCATAAGTCCCCTCCATCAGTAACATCAGCACTGCAGCCTTAAATTACTTCAATGACTGAACAGATCTTCATGAAACTTGGCATGTAAATTACGCCACCTGTAGCCGTTTCAACGGCGTACTTCATAAATCACTCTGACCAGTATTACCAACATTGCAAGATGTCACATTGCCTTTTATCGACTTCATTACGCTTGCATACAAAAGTTTTCTTCTTCTGCTTCTTTCAGATACCCAAATTGTACTGAAAGGAAAGTAGGCACTTAGTTATTCACATACTTTTTTTTTGGGGGGGGGGCGACACGATTGTCCGTTACCTTGTTCACAAGAGTCCACCACTTCTCCCTCTGTTCTATAGCAGATAAATCCAGTCCAGAGACTCATAACCTAATTCGTTACATAATTGATATTAACTTTCCGCTATCTGAGTGTAAATGTCCGAAGCGAACTCTTCTGTTAAGTATTTTCGACCAATATTTTATATGCATTTCTAATCTCTCATGCCTCTCCCATATTGTACTCTGTATGACTATTCTAATAGTGGCTGACGAAGAGCAGGTCCACCATTGTGGAGCTCCTCATAATGTAATTTTCTCCGGTTTCCTCCCACTTTTTCGCATTTAGGTCCAAATGCTCTCCATAGCGTCTTTTTAGCATGTTCTTCCCTTTCTGTGTTCATGCCTTATGGTGTGAGACGAGGTTTCAACCGTATAGATGAGAGTTCTGAAGGTTATGTATACGTCTGCATCGCACAACGGGGGGAATTAATCTTATAGGGAATTTTAAAAGAGAATGTTGGGAGAGCTGGGATTTGTTATTAGCATGGATCAAACAGAGCTCACCAAAGAACATTTTTTAATGTATAGCCAGAATATAGATGAATAACGGCAAGGCCCAGAGTTTAATCGTTGTTAGATGCAGAGAAGGGCGTGCCATAGCTCAGGCGGTTACTCGCCGGTTTCCCACCGCGGCGGCCCGGGTTCCGGCACAGTTCAGGTCATTTGGAATTTGTGGTTGAAAAAGTGACACTGGGGGCAGGGTTTCTTCGAGTGCTTGGTTTCCCCTGCCAATTCTAATTCCACCGACTACTCCACATTCGTCTTCTATCATCTGAGGCTGGTACATTAAGCCAGATAGAGGCCGACGTACCGAATGGACTCAGCCTAACTCCACCTCAAGAAACTGAAAAATGTAGAGAATGATTTACAAGAGCTACAAATGAAAATATGGAGGCAAGAGACATATAACTGAGAAAAAGAAACCGCATCTCCTTACAAGAAGGCAAGATTCTTAGAGGATCCTAGATCCAAAGAGTAAATAAAAAATATAGACAATAGAAGGGCGAGATATTTCTGAACTGAATGGTTGAAAGCTTTTCCCGAATTCAATCCGCTCTTAGTTTCTTCACGAATGTAATATTGGTGTTTATTATCGTTTGAAAATAAACACATAATAACAATAATAATAATAATAATAATCCGTGAAACGGTGTTTTGTATTGCATACCGTAATGCATGTTACGAACCTGATTATTTTGCGTAATGAATACTGTATTTCCTTATGAGAGTACGTTGTGTGTCTCCTGATCTCTGTTGCTCAAGTACTGCGGGGGTAACTCACCGCAAGGTAACATTAGTTTTCATGTTGAATAAGTATAATTTGGTGCAGAAGGTGGCGCCAAGAGCACAGAAAGCAATCAGCAATTTGTCACGTTTCATATGAAGTTGCCCACCGCTCCCTCACTGCATCCTGCTTTCTCATATAACGCCGACAGCTACGTGCCTTGAGTTTCATCAATTTCAGCCGTCTTAAGGGTTCATGAAGTCAATTTTAGAAATGATTCGGTAGAGATGTTCTTTCTGTTTTAGATTATCGGACAAGGAAATGTTCTCTTGTTACGATTCATGACAGAACATCATTTTTTATGAATCTGTATGTGTTTTTATGTATGTTGATATCTCGTCCCCAGGGTGCAAGGGAGAAGCATAATATAAAGACATGTAATAAAACCTTAAGAAAAGTGTCAACATTCAGATATTTTGGAATTAGAGTAACAGTTTTAATTACATTCATGACAGAGAGCAGATGTAATTCTTTGAAACGCTTACTGCAATTCAATTCAGAATCACTTTTATTTCCATGTGTAACCTGAAAGCGTATATGTTAAACATAAAAAAAATATTAGATTATTAGATACTGACTATGTGTGAAAATTGTGTTTTTATATTGGTACCATGCAAATAATTTATATCTTAGTGATGACTTCTATTTTGATAGTACACTGATTTCAACAATTGACGTCAAATAGTGCGTGGACATAGATTCTAGGCCTCATGTGTGTGGTGCTTTTTAATATTTGTCTTAACGCTCGCAGATGGTTTCTGTTGTACTTGGTTTATATATCCTATCTTGTGTTGGCGCTGGTGTTCGGAGATAGGGCCCAACTGAATAGGTTCTACCTGAGGACAGGGAT